TGCTGAGTGCGTGACCCTTGATTTTTGACAAGGGATGAGGCCTGCCAATTTGTTTTTGTTTCTACAGAGCGCCCTTGTTGTTTACAGAGAGCCTACACTTATGTGGATATTGTTTTGTCAACTTACTACTGTATCTATCTTCTCTACAGAGAGCCGTACATGGTTCAGACCAACAATTTGCTTCTCTGTTCCCTTGTGATTATCATGTCTAGGTGGTCAAAACGATTACACTAGATGTATAAACTTTTCATTGTTTGTAGCCACTATGCTCATATTTAGGTTTGTAAATTGCTTCTCATGCTGAAAAAAACATTCTGTAGGGACTTGGTGTTGTAAAACTATTGCTGTACTGCTTTATTTATGTGCTTAAATGTGTTTTTTGTATGCTGAAATGGGTTTCTTGTATGCTGGAATTCATTTGTATGAGCTGAAACATGCTTTTTTATGTGCTGAAATATGTTTTTGAGGTGCTGAAATTATGCTTTTTTTATGTGCTGAAATGTGTTATTAACTTCTGGAATGTTTATGTTGTAGATGGATGATGAGGTGCAGGAGACTCCAAATGTCGGTGCTCTTCCCACGAAGGCCCCCAAGGTCATGAATTGGACTCCGCCTATGTCTGCGTTGATGTTGAAAGGCATTTCAGAGGTGCCGGCAAGAGGTGCCAAGACTGACAAAGGGTTCAATGAGGTTGAAAAATTGAAAGTTGCAAAGCGTATATCTTCTTTTGTTGGTTATGACGTGTCTATTACCCAAATGGCGGAATAGGTGGACAAGGGTTGTCTATTTAAAGGTTTTAAGTGGGGTACTTTGGGATGATGAAAAGAAGATGGTAGTGCTAGAAGAGAAGATACATAAGTAGCTGCCCACCTGGGCTCACATGACTCGACCCTAGCCCATACACGTCTCGCTTACCAGGCCCATGGCCAAGTCACCACACAGGGTGTTGCAAGTTCAGTTACTGAACTTGCATTTCTTCAGTCCGCTGCAGATGCAGGGCTGCTGCTATCTGCAGGCGCGACATATTTCACCAGCTATTCAGCAGCACTGCTTTTAGGTGTCACTCACTCACCCACTCGGATGTCAGTACTTGCGGTTTCCCTCAGTTGGAATCGCACTTGAGATATCATAGGGTTTACATATAACGCTATCAAAACTATTGCATGTGGCAAAGGGATTAATAAGAAATTAAAGGTACATTCAACTCCCGGGAGGAGGATTAAACTTTGCTTCTCGTATGGACGCTACTACTAGATTGGTGGCACTGAATTTATCTTCAACCTTCATAATTAACGTGAGTTCGGTGATCTTTATTATCAGGTAAGTGTCTTCAGAGAAGAAATTCTCCAACTTGCTGGGATTGCTTGTCATGAAGAGGAGGTATGTGCCGTCCTTTAGTAGCACCGTGATTGAAATTCAGCATGTCCTTGCCGCTCTGTGCTTTAATAGCAGCTTCTTTGATACTATCATGGTTTTGTATCACCCATGTTAGGGAAAATCGCAGACAGAGCTACTGGAGAAGCTCAAAACATGTAACAAGATTATGCTAGTTGAACTGTGCCGCTCATTTGATGTCCCTGGTTCAACAAGCACTAAGAAGGTTGGTCCAGAATTTTCTTTTATCTGCTGCGCTCAGTTTCACATGAAACCCTTTGCTTTTCTGTTTTGCAGGATGAATTAGTGACAATAGTGATGGAGTTCTTGATGGAACACTGTTCTGGTATTATTTACACAGATCCTGATAAGGCTCAACTTAGCGGTCAGGTGATTTGGGCATATCAGTTTGTTACAACACTTACTCTTCTGCTAATAACAGATGTTTTCGGTTGTCTATCATAACTGTTAGCCTGTGTATACCTCTACATGTTAGGTTAAGCCAGTTTGACTGGTATTGTCATTGGCACATTGATTCTTTTTTATGACATGGTGTTTTATTGATTTGCAGAAATTTAAGAAAAGAAAGCGCAAGAAGAATGAAGCAAATCTATCTGGTGGTGAACCTTCCAAGGTATGACATATATGCATCTTACTTCTTTTGGTAGTGATGCATTTATGTTTGGTTTTGTTTAGTGCCACTAAAGTTACTTATCTAATACTACCTGAACTCATGGTCCCATGTGTGCTGCATTGCAAGTTCTTTCACCATTTTCATAAGCTATCTCCACATATTTATTTTCCCCATTTTTCCAAACTACTGCAGAAAAGGAAACCAGATGGAACTCTACTGGAAATTCGTAGTCAAGAGGAAGCAGATGGGAGAAAAGCTGTAGAAGATAGAACAAACCATTCCGAGTTCTTCTCGAGGGATAACAAGACAGGACAATTTGCGAAGGAACAAGCTAAACCTGGGCCTTTTGAAGGGGTAAATGACTCCGCGTTGGGGAAATTAGCTGTACTTCCGCTCCCAGGAGTACCGTTTCCTACAGATGAACAAACGCTAATCACAACACCATCTGCAAAGTTAGTTAGCAATGTTGAGAATGATGACACGGATATGGTGGCTTCAACGAAGAAAAACATTTCTCTTACCAAGAAAAAGGCAATCCAAAACACAGATTCCAAGGAGAAATCTGGTGGTATGCCTTACTTTCCACTTGTGCACATGTGGTTGAGTGTGGCTTATGTTGTTTGCATATATGCATGTTGAGAAAAGATACAACAAAATTCTTTTAAGCATTCAGGAATGCACTGTTAGTTTTTTTTGCTAGAACTGTCATCTATTTTGGCTGAAAAGGCTGGTTTGGTATGTAGATATTACATTTGGGTGGTGCAGTGTACTACTGTTCTGTTACTCAATATTAATTTAACTAGAACAAAGTAACCAGGACAAATTCCAAATTATGCGCTAATGTCCTTTTATAGATCATTGCTGGAGTGCTTACCTGCAAAAAAAAGAGAGAGGTGGGATTAGTTCTTTCTAAGTTGATTGTGTAGCTTCATCAGCAATTGCTTAGATGATACAACAAGTTTGTGCTGATGTTTTTTCATAAGGAGAGCATAAATTTTCTTTTTTATAGGTTCATACAACATACAGCACTATCTTTCTTTATGCTATCCATTTCCGAAATCTATGTTGAGATGGGGGTCAACCAAATTCTAGTTTTCGTGTTACTATGCAAGTGAAATACTTTACAGATAACGCGTGCGACCTCTAGTCTCTCCTTTGTAATATGTTTCAAAACCTTGTTTCATTGGTGTGAAAGGTAAAATTATGTCTAGAGGAGATGCGAAGCCATGGAAGCAGGCACCGAAACCAAGCAAGGATGAGCTGAGACAAGCTGTCTTCTGTATATTGGGTGCTGCAAATTTTGCCACTGTGAGATACATTCTACATCATTGATCTTTTAACATTTCCTCCATTCACCGTCAAATCTTGATATGTTTCTCTTGTCTTCACCAATTTTAGATGACTTTTGGAGAGGTTGTAAAAGCAGTTGGTATGTCTTTGCTTCCTCCTCCCTTTTTAATTACTAGTTGATATCTGCAAATCTTTTCTGATGGGTTTCCATATCTTCAGACAAGTACTTTGGCAAGGATTTGTTCAAGAGAAAGCCGCTGGTAAGGGCCTTGATAGAGGAGGAGCTGTTTAGGCTAGCCAAGGAGGCTGAGAGGAAGGAAGTGGAAGAGGAGGAAGCAATGGAAGCAAAAATAAAAGCCGAACAAGCTGCCAAGGACAGCAGCGCAAGGGATGGAAGAGTTGAATCAGAGATAGACAAGGAACATGAAGTTGAAGCTGATCCAGACGGTAAATCTAAGGATGCTGAAAAGATTGGTAACAGCAATAGTAGTGAAGAAGGTGGTAAAAGTGGGATTTGTGTGAAGACTGGTGAGAAGGGAAACAGCGCCGCTGCCACCGCTGAGAATTTACAAGATGGAAAGGCAGAAGTTGACGACACGAGGAAGAAAGGAAACAGTGATGGTTTTGGCAAGGATTGCGAGGCTGAAAAGGTTGTGCAGAACGCAAATGGCGATGGTGGCATAGAAATATTGGGAGATGGTAAAGCTGAAACTGCGAATAATTGCAGCGGTAACACCATAGGAGGTTCTGGAGAAAAAGATGGCGGATCTGAAGAAGGCAGGGCTGAGAATGATGCAGAAAATGCTGGTGACTGTGAACCTGAAGAATCTGAAACTAATGAACCAGAAGCAGAAGCAGAAGCAGAAGATGTCAAATCTAAGGAAGCCAGTGGCAATTAGATTGCCCTATCCCCCATGGTGCTAACTAAATGTGGCAAAACAAAATAGATGCCAGGCAATATGATTACTGAAGCGAGTCGCGGATGATGATGGTCGAGCGGAAGATTCCGAAGGCACCAAAACTGATGTAGGTTGAAGCTGCTTTGTGGACGATGTGAAAACTGATGTAGGCTAGTTTATGGAGGATTAGATTTCCATGCGGAGGACAGAATGTTGTGTAAATAGTGCTTGTTGTATCGACCTTCCTTGTTTAGCTCGAAGAGTCTTTCCTTTTCCTTGCTTGACTTGATGATTAGCTGCTCTTTTTTTGTCCAGAGCTGCTTTACTCCAATGGGCGGGCGGGCGGACGGACGGCCTGGATTGGTCTGACATGGCAGTGATCGACGGTTGTGGAATGTGACAGGTGGCACATGCTTATCGACAGACCAACGGCTGGGTTGGCTCCACGTTCACAGCTCCATCCCTTCTTATCCGCGCAATCCAACGGACCGGACCCAGCCAAGCCATTCCCCACCACCCTCTCCCTCCTCTTCTTGTCGCACTGCACATAATAGTCTCCAAAGATTGAATTTTCGTACAAGTGTCCTTCCTTCCAGTTAACTTCATGCTCCTGCTTGATCAGGCTAGAGTGGTTTGATTGCTTCTTGATTTGAGACACAGATCGGGGAGAGGAGCCATGCCGGAGTCGGACAACGACTCCGGCGGGCCGAGCAACACCGGCGGGGAGGGGGAGCTGTCGTCGCCGCGGGAGCAGGACCGCTTCCTGCCCATCGCCAACGTGAGCCGCATCATGAAGAAGGCGCTCCCGGCCAACGCCAAGATCAGCAAGGACGCCAAGGAGACGGTGCAGGAGTGCGTCTCCGAGTTCATCTCCTTCATCACCGGCGAGGCCTCCGACAAGTGCCAGCGCGAGAAGCGCAAGACCATCAACGGCGACGACCTCCTCTGGGCCATGACCACCCTCGGCTTCGAGGACTACGTCGACCCCCTCAAGCACTACCTCCACAAGTTCCGCGAGATCGAGGGCGAGAGGGCCGCCGCCACGTCGACGTCAACCGCGCCGCAGCACCTGCCCGACAATAATGCCACCGGTTACGCCGACTATGGTGGCGCCGCTGTCCCCGCCCCGGCCCCGGGAGGCATGATGATGATGGGGCAGCCCATGTACGGCTCACCGCCGCCGCAGCAGCAGCACCAACATCAGGTTGCAATGGGAGGGAGAGCGGGCTTTCCCTATCACGGAGGCAGCAGCGGTGGCGGCGGGTCGTCTTCTTCGTCGGGGTTCGGACGGAAAGAGGGGTGACATCTTTTCTTTTCTTTTCGTTTTGAGCTGACCAAAGTGAGTGATTTCAACATATGTTCCTCTCTTGGATGAAGCCGTGACTTGTAGCTTAGGGAAATCCATTCAGTACAAGGAGGAATAATTGTTCAGCAAATCAGTTTTCTTCTATAAACAGGAGGAATGTATAACTACGAGTCTACAAATCATACCTGGGAAGCTCTCCATGAATTACTTGTTTAACAACATGGCGAGACACAATACCAATATATTGATGTTAAAAGAACTCATGATAGGAACCCCGCGACCTACTCCCTCCGTCCCATAATATAAGAGCGTCGTATATTATGGGATGGAGGGAGTACCAATAGTACTTTGGTAAGCTACAAATGGAAAAGAGAGGTGAACTCTTTGCATCGAGTTAAGCGGCTCTGTTTCGTCCTAGACATCTCAAAAGAGCTTTGGTCTGCCTATGGCCACTGTTGATGCCTTACGTTCTTGTGTACTGGATCTCACATACTTTTGATTCCTCTCTAATCCTCATATTGATATGTCTCCTGTTGTCACATGTGTTTTCAATTCTTCAGTTCTCCTGCAAATAGATTTTGCTTGATTTATGTGTTTGTCCCCTGCATCATGTACTACTATGTCAAGCCACCAACAAGTTAAAAGAAATGAAACGATTTAACCGGATGTCTACTCGAGTGAAGTTCCAGAGGCATGTATTCCTCAAAAAAAATTTAAAAAAAATCCAGAGGTATGTATAAGAGGGGAAGAATTATTAACGCAAGTGAAAGTCGGTGGAGGATCGATTTGTTTTCATGTGGTCAATGCTCACAAGTTACAATAGATATGTCGTTAATCGCCTTGAAAGCTCAAGACAGCAAGAAAAGGTTAGCTACGCTAAGCAGTTCCTACTTCGACCCTGCGGTCTGAACAGACGCGAGTTACCGACAAATTCATAAAATTGAAATGTCTGCATTTCATTTCTGCTACTCTACCTCATTTGGGAACCACAAAAGTTCGACATATGTCTCACTCTGAGATGGAGCCGCAGCTTCTAGCTTAACTTCATCCAACATATAGAACAATTGCTCGACCCATGTTCCTCAAGCCTCCTGTTCCCACATGTTTTTTCAACTCTCCTGCTCTCCCCTCGCAAATCATTTCCCTTTGTGTGTGTGATTTCCCCTACATGATATACAAAGCTAGGTGCGTAACTACGCACCCAGGGGAAGGTGCATGCTACCAGACAAGTTAAAACAAAGTGAAACGATGTAACGCGATATCTAGTCCGGTGGAGTTGGAGCAGTATATATAAGCGGGGATCTTATAAACGCAAGCGAAAATCGGAGCGCCTATCTGTTTTCATGTGACCAATGCCCATGAGTTACAATATATGCATATCAACATAAATTGTGCAAACCTACTAGTTCACTTGGAAAGATACTAGCCAATGCACCATAAAAACTTGAGCTACCGCGGAAAAGTTGGGTACATTAAGCAATTTCTACTTCACTTCAATATTTAAACATGCTGAAGTTGCCAGCAAACAAAGAAAACTGAAATATCCGCACCCTCGACTCTTCGCTCTTTCAACATGTTTTCAGTATGACATCGTTCATAATAACATGCTCATTTTATCACTAATCATAGCTATCGAAGCTGCTGGTAGAAAATATTTTCTTACATACAGGTAGAAAATATAAGTGATTCCGTATACATGGTGCCGTCAAGTGAATCACACAAGTATCTAATCCATTTTTTCTTATACACGTGCTGCTAATTACAACCATCATATGCAGTTTCCAATACCTAATTAACAGTGCATAGATAATTAGATATGTGAACCGCACACAACACGGAAAATCGAATGAGTTGCTCTCGTCAAAATCAGGCGGCTCCAGGCCCTTCTCCATTCTCACCGTTGGCCGCGCCGGCCATGGTGCCCACGGCAGCGCTGCTACTAGGCGACTCGTCACTGGTGACAGCGGATGATACACCGTCCATCTGCTCATTTACGGCAGAGTCTGCCGGTCTAGGAGCATCGGCTGAGCTTGCTGCTGGCTGTGGCTCTTGTCTTGGAAGGGACCTTGGCTGCCGAATGGCGGCCGCGGCCTCTGGCATGGCGACCCCTGGTGGCTGTGGGGGAACCCAGTGGCGCTGGAACGGGCTTTCCTGTGCAACTGGTGTCGGTGCTGGTGCTGGCGCCGGTGCTGGTACCGCTACCGGAGCTGGTGCCGGTGCTGGAGCATCAACGGCGTTGCTGCCCCCAGGGTAGTACGGAGGAGAACCGTAGTAGCCCTCCAGAGTACCAGGGTTCGATCTGTCATAGCCCATCTGCGGCTGGAACCCGTACCCAGCCCTCGGCACCCGCTGCTGCAAGTACAGAGCATCTAATTTAAGCGTAATTCTAGAACCACTGTCCTGTTTTTTCTGTCTTAAAGGATGATACAGTAGCTTACATCAACATAAGATCTTGGAAATGATCCCGCTGTAGGTTCTGCAGGTAATGGCATGAACGGTTGCCTCCCTGCCCAAACATAACACAGGAGTGAACAAGTATAAGGTAGGAGATATGGTGGTGCCAGCTCAAGTTAGTTCCTTAGTTCTTACCTGAGTCAAAATCACCATTTGGCGTCGTTGTGTACATGTTGGTTTGCTACAAACAGAAACGCTGGGTAAGACATAAGGACTGCAAACCTATGTAAGTACTGACGAACAGGAGGAATATCTACAAGTCTACAAATCATACCTGGGAAGTTCTCCATGAATTAGTAGTTGGCCCTGTTGGTACAATACAATAAGAATGTGGTGAGACACAATACCAATAGATGTTAAAATAACTCGTTAGAAACCCTACAACCTGCCAATCTAGTATTTTATATGCAGAAGGTTCACGTAAGCAAGGATCTGGGTGATAGTAATTGAATTCAAAATTAACAGAATAATGTGCCCCTATAATGCATAAATATTGATTTCTAACCATTCCATGGTCCAGGTTGAGCATGCTCTTCCAACATATTGTACTGCGAAAACCGATTCTCCCTTGTATGATGTAAGGTCTCGCTCAAGGATTTCAACACCTCTGCCTGAGAATCCAATGCTTCTGTTAACTTTACAAGTATCTTCTTATCTGTGAACAAGAGAAAACCACTAATGTAATCAAACTCAAACAATAATGGTTATCCTCGAGCAAGAATATGCTAAATTATTAAGAAATGTTTTGAACCTTCTTCCTTTGAAGCCAGCAATTCTTGGTTTGTTTTAGCAATAGCAGAAAAGGCTGATGAGGAAGCTTCCATAGCCTCTTTAATTTCATCATAAAGCTTGGATTTCAGATCGTTGTCCGCATTTTCATCTCCTTCAGAAACGACTCTACGGGTCCAAGATTTTAGCCTAGGCAGGAACAATTTCTGTGCAAAATACACACGCAAACAAAGTTAATCCCTCAATTCTTCCACTAAAATCATGACCATTTGCAGAACACACAAAATACCTTGATGATGACAACTGAACTAGCTCCAACTCCAAGGAAAATACCAGCACCAAGGAGTGTATGATACCAGCTAAATTGTGTCTGTGTTTGTGGGACTATATGACCAGTGGCGACAGAGCCAGTTGGCGCTTGTGGCGTCTGAACTGATGCGTAAGGTTGCACCCCCGCAGATTGATTTGGATTGCTTGCTGGAAGCACAGAAAGCAAGACAGCCTTTTAGCATATAAGTTAACAAACATGGTACGCTTCTCTGAATATGGCAAGATTTCAGGACAGAACTTTGAAGCGTAGATATTAAATGTCATGCAAGGAAGACATTCTTCTATTTTGAATAGGCTAGCTGCCAGCAAGAGCGACTGTAGACTTATTCCGGATTTCCATGTGAGGAATCAGAATAGCATAAGGACTATTTTCAACAATCAAAAATATCTTATAATTAAGTATTTAGTCATACTATTTCTTCTGAAGCTATCCTAGTAATTTTTCAGAAACAAGATGTGTGTCTGAACTAGATGAATACCCCTTGAAGAAAACACCATTTAGATGCATTACCTAAAGTACTTTTGTTCGCATCATCAGATGATAAAAAAGAGAGTAAGTTCAATCAAAGTTACATAAATACTAGATGCTGTGTGCAAGGCATAGACCGGACATTATGTAAAGATCCATCCAATTAGACAGCAAACAAATTAACAGAGTAATATGATGATGCCACTGTAAACCGTTACTTCATTAGCTCAACCATTCAGCATGTGGAGATACCTTGTTGCGAACCAACAGCCGCAGCATCCGTACTGCTTGTCGGCGGATCCTGCAAGACATCAAGCCATTCAGGAAAGGAACACTTGACCCTCTTCTCATTTTCTCAGTTAAACATTCAAGCGGAGGTGGCCGGGAAATAGCAACTTACAGGAACCCGGCGGAAGGCCTCGTCGATTTCCTCCTTGGTGAGCCCTTTCTTCTCCAGGAAAGAGTACCTGTAGGACACCGGAGAACCCTTCACCTTCGGATGCGCGAGGAAATTGACGGCGTTCTGCACGTAATCCTCCCGCACTGCCTGTGGGGCTTGGAGTACCAGATTTTCCGAGGATCCGCCTCCGCCGGAACCATCTGCAGCATTAGAAAAGTTAAAAATATATATACAGTTTCACTCTAAGAACAGTGCAAGTCTGACAAAATTAATCATTCAACATCAGGGATTGACCACCTACAACTCTTGGGGAAAACAATTAGGGGGGGAAAGAATTTTCAAAGTTCCTATGATGCTTTAAACCACAATTAGGGGGGAAAGGACCTTATAATTACAAAAGTTCCTATGATGCTTTATAAACTTCTAAAATTTTCAGCCTTGCCTCAAGGTGGAGCATCCAGTCCATAGCCTTGTCTCCATGGAAAAAGTCACCGGAGCTAGACAACCACGAATCATGGAGATAACCCACACGAACTCACTCAGGAACCCAGTTTTACGATTCGCATCAATCTGACGAACTTGGGGGGCACTATCGACTCTCCAGAGGGAAACCGCGGCTGATAAAAACCCTCGCCTCTCGTTCCCCACAAGATCCCCCGCGCAGGGTGGTGCTTAATCGGCGAGGCGCGACGAGGGTTCCCAGGCAGCTCAAGGAATCGGGACGGTTTCGGGCCGGCGGGTTAGGAATCTGACCTTGCGGCGAGGAGCTGGGCGGCTGCGCGGCCATCGGGGGTGTTCACGGCCGCATCAACCACGGAATCTCGCCGACGACAGGCGGCGGCGGCGGCGGCGGAAGTGGATAATAGCAGGACCGGAGAGAGTATGCGCGTCACGTATATTCACACGTGTTTTATCTTCAGATGAAAATATGGAGAGGAAAAATAGCGAAAAGAACTCTATGCAGATACAAACAACTTTTGTTTTTTAATTATGTGAATCATATAATAACTTTTCAAAAAGAAATTGGCTAGAGTAGAAATTTGGTTAGCAAGAGTGTGTCTTCCTTTGACATCTCACCCCTCTCCCTTCCGCGTCGTCCCCGTGGGGGACCGGGGGGAAACCCTAGGGCGCCGCCGGCCGGGGGCCTCCACCCTTTTTCTTACTCCCTCGCCGCCCGTTGGTGATGGCGGTGGCGGGATTCCTCTTCCCCCTGCTCGGGTGGCAGCGGCAGTGCAGTTCAGACGAGGGGCGCGACGGTGTGACTTCGAGGTCCTGCGACGAGGCTGCCGACTCTGTGTGGTGGCGTGGAGGGCCTCGCGATGGGTGGCACGCTCATGCCGGTGTGGGCTCTCCTTCCGGATCTCTTGCGACAGGGTGCAGGGGGGTGCGGGTGAGCTGGATGCCGGCCAGTTCCTGCCGGTTCTGTCGCCGGGAGGCTGCAAGTGGCGCGGGGAGGTGGAAGGAACCCTCTTGTTGGGGCGGCTCCCACGTCGTTTAGGTTCTTGTGTCGGCAGTAGGCCGGCGACACGGACTGCCCGCCGGGTATAGAGTCTGATATGGTTCTCCTGCCAAGGGTTGGGTGCTCCCCGAGCGAGGTCCGGCGCATTGCCACCTTGGAGTCGAACTTCTCGGCTTTAGGTTGCCACCGGTCAAGCTAAGGTGGGAGCTTGCGACTTGGTTGGTGAGTCATCTTCTCATTGTAACATTGGTGTCGGTCTGGGATGTGGTGGACGGGACAATGCCATGCCGACTGTCGGACCAATGCGCAGGCCGTGGACTTGGTGTTGTCTGAGCTGCTCTCGACAATGGCCGTCGGCAGCCACTGGGCTATGTCCCTCCCGGTACACCGGGAATGGAGGGGATTGTAAGAGTAGGCGTCCCTATGGTGGTGGCACTGACCCTAGCCCGATGACTGATGTCGGGCTTTACCTATCGTGACTTGTGCATTGTGAAGCGGGCGGTTGGCGTTGTCTCGGGGCTTGGAGGCCGAGGCTGCACCCTGGAAGACGGTCCACGTGATGGGTTCTCCGGCGGGCTCCATTGCGACGGTGGTGGCTACTTCTCTTGGTCGTGTCGGCGGCGAGAGATATAGCGCTGGGTGGCTCAGGCGCGCTCTAGTTGTGGAGGCACCCTGATCCAGATCTGGAGATCTTTGCTCGTCATGTTTGTCCTGGTGTCCTACCGGAACTGAGGAGCTTCAAGCAAAAGCTCCGCACATTGGCGCTGGCGACAATGACTCTCGTGAGCGCCGCTTTCTTCTTGAAGACGTTGTCGTGGTCCTCCTCTCCGTGTCTGGGCTCCGGGTGTAAATCTTTGTCCATTCTAGACTCGGCAGCGGTGCTGCTCTGCACAGTTCTCCTTCCCAAGGGCGTTGTCATGAAGCTTAGGTGTACTAGGGCACATCGTGTCATTGTAATCATTTCTTCCTTTGTTATATTTCGGTTGTGTAGTCGCGTTCGTTCTGCGTGACCCGGTTATTCTGGGATCGGCTTTATACGAGGGCTATCTCTCCATCTTGTATCGTTCGACTGTATACTTTGTCCGGGTGTTCCTTTAGGTATAAAGCAGGGCGGAAGCATTTCGACAAGAGTTGAAATTTGGCAACTATTCGTTATATAATGACATTTTTGTGCATCTTAGCAATGGAGGTTGTTACTGTTAGATTTATGTCATTAGCTAAGCTATAAAAACAATATGGAACATTTTTGTTCTGATTCGCTCGAGCCAGGCGTACTTGCAATCTATGTGCATAATGTCTAATGAAATACACAAGATAACACGTAATGGTACTTGTTCACATCCATTTAGCCGTGTGTTTTTTAGGTCAACTTGCCACGAAGGCTTGACAACATAATTATTTTGATCATGTGGCATTTGACATAGTTGTTCCACCCCGATTACCGAGACCTGCTTTTCCGTCGTGTTCTCATTTATCTCTTTAGCTTATCTCATGTGTTCTCTGTCTACATATTTGATGCCCTCTCACCTTCATGCTTACTTGCAATCTACGTGCATAATGTCTAATGAAACACATAAGATAACACGTAATGGTACTTGATCAGATCTATTTAGACGTGTGTTTTTAGGTCAACTTGCCACGAAGGCCTCACAACATAATCATTTCAATCATGTGGCGTTTGACAAAGTCGCTCCACCCCGATTACCGACACCTCGTATTTCCATCGTGTGCTCATTTATCTCTTTAGCTTCTCTCATGTGTCCTCTATCTACCTATTTGATGAACTAGGCAAATGCTACAAACAAGATAAAACAAAGTGAAACCGCCCAATATACCTATCTACTCCTTTGAAAAGAGAGTGGCTTATATAAGGAGGAACATGTGAAGGTTGTTGGAGAACCGACTTATCAACATATGATAAATTCCCTTGACTTATGGTAGGTATATTTTTCTTAGCTAATATAAGTTGTACACATCTTAAAGGTTGAACCGGTGAAGTTATTGCTAAGATGCTACGTGTTTCACCTTAGGATACACGGGAGTGAGGCCTATAAGTGTATAATCAAACCCGCACATGCGCCGAACAAGCAATATACACATTCATATGATCAGAGAAGTAAAACTGGGCACGAGCACTGATGGGGCCGATTCCTAGCCACTAACTCGACTAGCATCCAACCATTGGATGGACTCACTTAGGCCCCGTTTGGTAGCTCAGTTTTTTCTACCTCTTTTTAGAAAACAGAGTTGGCGAAGAAAACGAATCTGTTCGTTATCACCTTCCTCGCTGCAAGCCACCGCTGCCGTTGCCGCCGTCTGTTTTACATCGTCGGCCATGCACAAGCCAAAAAGAAAGCAATGGAGAAATAATGATGACCTTCGTACTTCCGCTTGCGCTCCTCCTTCTCTCCTACTACGCCCCATGCATCTGGTCAGTACGCTGGCCACCCATGGTCGTGCTGATGGCCGCAACGCGAATCCACGAGGCACTTCTGGCCGAGCATGTGCATGCCTAGCTGCGTGCGGTCAATACCACGCTGTAGATGTGCCGCGCTGTCATGCTGCGGCCTTGCTCGCCGCTGCTGGCCATGCATGCACTGCTCCCGACCGCCGCCGGTGCGTCCGCTCAACGCCCTAGCCGGCTCGCCACTATGCGCCTCTGTTGGCCAAGCGGCAGCCAAGCCATAGCGTCGCGTTGCTGCCTTCCTGCGGCCGCTGATGCCCAGGCATGCCACCTACTCTGTTTGTGCAATCGTGGTCATTCATTTTGCAAGGCCAGCTAAGAACGTACATGTTGCAACTGCTATGAAACGGCTCTATGCAGCTAATTTACGTCGTTGTAAACGAGCACCAACCAAACATGTCACAGTATTCTCAAAACTTCAAAATTCTTTGATAAGTCCCCCTCGTCCCCCTCGTGTCGCCCCCGCGGGCGACCCAGGGGGAACCCTAGCCGCCGTTATCTCGTCCCTCCTCCCGCCTCCACCTCCCCTCGCCGCCGTCCGCAGCGCCGCCGGGCAAAGCTTGGCCGGCTGGGCGGCGGCGGGGCGTATCTCCCTCTTGTCTATCTCGGCTGGCGCGGGGCAGCCAGATCGGACGGGGCGCCGGACTAGCGCGGGGTTGGGCGGCGTGGCGCGGCAGGTTTCTTGGCGACGTCGTGTGGCGCGGCGGCGGCGGAGGCCTGCTCGCGGCGTGGTGACGGCTGCGTGGTGGAAAGATCGATGGTCGCGGGCGCTGCCGGGTTCAGATCGGATCCAATCTGGGTCTTGGGCTTGAACGCCATCAGCCGCCGCGGGGTGGTGGTGGTCGTCGCTGACCACGCCGGATCGCTGGATTCGGCGCTTGGAGATCTACGATGGAGTCTTCTCGATCCTCCTTCATGGTGGGTTGGACCCCATGGCTCTTTCATCTCTGCAGGTTCCAGTTCGTGGTCCAGCCGGATCCGGAGCCGATGGAGTTTTGGTGGTATAGGATGGGGACCGGAGGAAACTTTGATCGGCTTGTTCGGTCCGGCATCGGCGACGTCTTTCGATGCTGTTACCCTCCGTGGAGGCGATGTCGAGGTCTCTCCTATCCATCTCCGAACCCCTCCCGGACGAAAGTCCAAAATTCAGTCTGGATTGGGCGGCGGCGGCGTCCTTCGCGTCGTACCCTCCATGGAGGCGCCGTCTTGGGAGGTTCTGATGTTCGGCGGAGAGATGCTGTGGGTGATGGACTCCGGTAGCTCCAGCAGTGGTGATGGTGTGGAGGTTGCCAGGAGGTGCGGCGTTGTTTCTACCGCGTCGATGACGACGAGTATTGGCGGCATGGTGCAGCTGGATATCGACGACATATGCGGCTAGATGGACGAGCGCAGGGCGGCGGCGCTGTCTGGCGTCATGGTGGCGTCGACAGCTGACCTAGCAAGGTCTTTGCGTCGGTACCTGCTCTGAAGATGGTTAGGTGGATGACGGCTGCGGTAGCCTCGGTGAGTGCGCCGGACCGGTGTGTGACCCATTCCCGGTAAGTGGCTGGGATGGGGCAACCGGCATTAGATGTTAGGTTTTTGTGCGATGTCTGTTTGGTATTAGGCTCGGACATTCGGCACCCCTACATCAAGGAAATAGGAGTAGCGACAGGTGTCGCGAAGATGGTGGCTTCAGGCTTACTGATGTAATGATTTGTAAGGTCTCTGAGAATAATTAATAAAATGGCTGCATGCATCGCTCAGATGCAGAGGCCGGGGGTAATCCTCCTTTTCTAAAAAAAAATGTGAAAACTGTAGTATCTAGTACCTATAGTTTAAAATAATGTAGTTTTTCAATACTACAGTTTTTGCAATGCCTTGT